AAGCTGGATGCACGAAAGGTCCCAGGATAGTATTTTGGTGGAGTCTCCTCCTTTTTCCTCTTCCCTATACATGATGGAGCAGGAGGTTACAGATTTCCGGCCACCTTGTCTGTTATGGTGTTTTCTACCTTATGTCTCCCAGTGGCTTTGTCTAGGAACCCAAGAAGCTGATGGATTCATTCCATGGATCTAGGATTGAAAGAAGCAGGTAGTTCCCAGAGGAAGCTCCAGCATCAACACTTTGTTCATATGCTTTAGCCAGCATACAAGAATATTGTAGCCAGGGGTAACTAAGGATGAAAAATGAGTCTTAAAATTGGTCACCACTCAAACCTGGCAGAGATGGCACATGCCTTTAATCCCAGCACTTGGGAGGCAGAGGCAGGTGGATCGTGAATTCAAGGCCAGCCTGGTCTACAGAGTGAGTTCCAGTCCAGCCAAGACTAAACAGAGAAATTCTGACTCAACCCCCTACCCCTACCAAAATAGTTGCCTCTCTCCACCTTTACTTAATTCCTTGAAAACACTCAGGTGATTTGGTGATGATTTTGTTTTGTTGACAGGGTCTCACTATGTAGACCTATCTGGTCTCAAATTCACAGAGATCATTCTGCCTTAGCCTCCTAAATGCTGGGATTAAAGGTGTGAGCCAACACACAAGGCTTACATGTAATGTGTAAAACTGGTGTATATGGCAAAGGTCAACAAACTTCTGCTTTCTGCAGTATTCACATATTGCACTCTCTTCATTTGCCACACCGAAACATTTAATTCCATGTAATTACACACACACACACACACACACACACACACACACACACACACACACACACACACAGTCTCCCACCCCCATCAATCCAGTAGGAAATAACAGAAAGGAAGGTCCTGACTCATTGTGGTACAGACAAAGGAAAAGGTGCAGGATGGGAATGAATGCAGAGTAGCACCAGATCCTGGTTCTATTTTTGCACACTGTTTTCATTGAGGTCCACAGTGTTAGCTACATAGATTTCCAGCGGGGGGGATTTTAATTGGCAGGCACAAATTGCAGGAGTTCATCCTGGGGCTGAAGTAACTCAAGTTCTTGGTTCGAGGGGCATCAGGGCCAGTGATGACTTGTGGCAAGAGACTCAGGAGTTCAGGTTATCCTCAGCGACATAAGCCAGGAAGAGGCCAATGCATGGTAATGGGGCCTTGTCTCCAGCAAAAGCAAAAGGGAAAAACTCAAAACAAAAAAAAGATAGAGAATAGAAAAGGTATAGTAACACAATACAATGTATCTAATTTAAGTAGTTCATAAACCCTCTGGGATCTCTTTAAAATCTAACCCGAAACTGAAACCACATCATCCACAGAGTAAAAAGGTTACCGCACTGCCTTCTGCAAACCTTGCTTTTAGAGGAGGCCAGAGACCCAGCCATCAAAGATCTGCTCAGGTAAGTGACAAATCTGAACTCTGTCCTCTGAAGGGGAAGGCCTCTAAGTTGAGGGGACTCTGACAAAAATCTGAGGGCTGCAGTGAGCGGATGGGGGTAGTCTATAACTTGAGGGTTAAAGCCAGAAGGTCAGTTCTGGGCAAGAAAGAGATGAGGTCATGTCTAGATAAAAGGAGGATAGACAATAGGCTATTGATCTTCCTAGAAACTTAAAAATATAATACAGGACCACTCAATTTACCTCCCAGGCCTGCAGGAAGCAACTGGCATCTGTGCACATAGGTGCTTATGTGTATAGACTTTTTCATCCCTGTACTTCCTGGGTTTTCAGGACAGAACAGGGATATACTTAGTCTCATTTTCCTCCCAGATCCACACAAACATTAGCTTCTATCCTCTTCTTGGCTTTATTTATCAATTTTTAAAGAGTTTTAAAGACTGCATTCTTGCTATGTAGCCTGGTCTAACCCAAACCTTGAGGTCCTCCTGCTCAGAATCTCCTCATGTTGGTGAACGTAAGCAAATTTTTGTTGTTGCTGTTCATGTAGGATCTTGCATATATAAAGCAGGATGGAAGGTCAGTGGGAAGGAGTGAGGAAAGAGAGGATGGGGACGAAGGAAAAGAGAGAGATGGATGTTTTTTGTTGAAGTTCAAGGTGTTAGATACACAGATTTTTCAGGGGGACTTTTAATTGGCAGGCACAAATTGCAGGAGTTCATCCTGGGGCGGAAGTGGCTCAAGTTGCATTTCTTCAGTCTGTGTGGGGTGTGAGAGGCATCAGGGCCAGGGAAGGAGGCTGCACTTAGTTTCCCAGAGAGAAGTAGACACAAGTCTTGCAAAAGGCAAATACCTGGATCAACCACATGAGGAACTAGGGAGGGGAGGAGAGCATTGGAAACTTACTCCAGGCTGGCTGGACCATGCTTCTAGAATGAGAAAGTTCCTCTGCTGACTGACCAACCCTACAGGATGGCTTTCTGCTAGCACCTACATCTGGGATTTCTCAAAATTGCTGTCTTCAAAAAAGAGTTTTGAAGCTTAAGTTTTAAGACAAGAAAGGGGTGGTTTTAGCAGAGGCCAGAGAAAGAGCTAGAAAGCGGAGATGTGTGCTGTGTAAAGAAGATTCACTGTCCAGATGGGTATAGCTCAGTGGAAACGTGCTTAACAGGCATTCAAAAAGTTCTAGGTTCATTCCTCAGTACTGACCAACTGGAATCCATGCTGGGTGGTCCTTCCCCAGAAGCAAACTTAGGACTGGAGAGATGGCTCATTTGTTAGAGCAAGTAGTTCCTCTTTTAGAGAGATCAGAGTTCAGTTCCATCATCCGTATCAGGTGGCCTACAAGTGCCTGTAACTCCAGTTCCAGAGAACCTGACACCACTGGCCTCAGAGGGCACCTACATCCAGGTGCACAATACCCCCTATCCCAGGATATGCCTGCATACACATTAATAAAAAGAAGAAAAATAATTTTTTCTTCTAAGCAAATTGCGTCATAATTAATGAAGTAGCTCATTAGAAATACTAGATTCATGGTTCTGAGACTGGGATCCCAAAAATCTCTGCTGGTAATAAATTTCCAGAGAACTTCTTATGCAATCATATTTTAGGAACTTTTTTGAGTAAGCAGTGGGATGCTAAATGACTCAGGCTGTACATAAGGCCAAAGGAAATTGCCTGTGTTTCTATGCTGACCGGGGCTAAATTTTGCCTCTGTTTGTGTTTTCAGAGTCCCATTACATCTTAAACTGGCCTGGGACTTGGCATGCCCCTGCCTCTACCTACAAAGGACTGGGATTATAGGAATGTGCTGCCATAACTTGTTGTCCAGGAGGACTTTAAGTTTTTAGGGAGGATATCTTATGTAGCTCAATGCAGGTATTTATAATAATTAGTAAATTTTAATAGTTGAGGATGTACAGAAAGTGGAAACCTTCACTGCCATGCTGAACCCCTAGGTCTGTTGTTTCTGCAGTGTCCTCTAAAGACTCAGGGCAGAAGAAGCCAATCATTACAGGTCGAGCCTTCCCAAGAACAACTAGTTAGCCACATCAATCAACTCCTCACTGCCATTTTCAGGGTGTGGGGAGAGCATTGTCTTTCCAGCTAAGTCAAAATTCTGTGGAAAGGAACCCAACAGGCTTGGATAAGTGTGGGGAGAGTGTTCATGATTTTCCAAAGCCATGGGCAGGAATGAAGGGATGGGTCCACACCAATGGGGAGTGACCTTTAGTATCCTTGCTTGACTTGCCTTTCATTGTTTATGTTAAAGCTCCACCTCTCAAAAAGGAGTGCAAATAATACATTCTCATAAGATATAGTTATTAATAAGGCTGACTGTTAATCTGTTTCCTTCCTTTTTGTGTGTGTAGGTCATGCACATGTGTGGGCATATGCACTTGTGTGGACACATGCATGTGTGTAGGAACATGCATGTGGAAGTCAGAGCACAATCTCTGGTGTCATTCCTCAGACACTCTCCACCATTTTGGTAAAGACAGGGTCTCTCACAGCCCTGGGACACTCCATGTATGCTGATCCTGCTGTCCAGTGAGTCTAGGGGATCTCAGGGCCCCATTTCTCTCTACCACCCAATGCTAAAATAAAAGTACATGTCATCACACCCCGCTTTTCCCTCAAGGGTTCTGGGAATCAAACTCAGGTCTATATTTGCAAGGCAAGTTCTTTACACACTAAACTTTGTCATCAGTTTTTGTTTTCTATTACATCACAAGATGCTTGGTACTGGAAAGTTTGTAAAGTAAAGGTGCTTACTCAGTTCACAGTCTGATAGCTGGAAAATCTAAATATCACAGCAATGCTGGCTGGTTAGGGTTTTCCTGGAAGAATCACAATATGACAGAGAAGCCATTGCCGTGTGCAGAAGGGATACATGGCAAGAGAGGAAGCCAGAGAGGTTCTGGGGACAGACTTGCTCATGCGGGAACTGAGCAAGTTTCCACATTTCTGAGGGTGATGTCCTCCAGCACCTGGTCACTTGCCTGAAGACCTCACCTTTTAAAGGTTTCCCCGCATTCTTATGGCCACACTGGGGACCTGTGGAGGACAAACATATCCAAATCACAGAACATAGTGATTATTAGTAGTGATAGTAATGAACACTGACAGCATTAATGACATTCTGAGGTACTAAGCTGAGTGTGAGCCACAAGCTAATCAAAAACAGAGAAGAATGTAAGTATCTGTGCAAAGAAAAGTATCAGGGCTGATGACAGATCTGCTAAAATATGGCCCGGTTCTCCCTGGAAACCTATATGATACATAGCTTTGTGTGTTACCAGGACTGATAGATTGTAGGTCCTTACTAGGGAGCGAGGATGTCAACAGCCTCATTTTTGGAAAGGGATCCAAGCAGAGCTGTTCACATAGTCCCGATAAGCCATTCTTGGAGCAGTACGAGCAGGAAGGAGTCTGGACCTTCAGATGTGAAATAAAGATTCCATCATTAACCTAGAGCTGATCCATCAACAGACTGTTACAATATTGTGTGCACCCTTCTTTCATTGTCTTATGTTTTCTTGCAGCTGTTTTTGAACTTGAAGATGACATCAAAAATTCACATGTTCCTCCTGACTTGGTTGTTAACCCAGCAGGTAATATTCTCAAACCACATCCTGTTGACCTTGCTTTCCCCTGCCCACATCTTCGTGATATTACATTTCACAGGGCTGAGGCTGTGGCTACAGGATGTTAGAGAGCATGAATCTTGAAGAAGTATAGTAAAGATAATATCAGTAAGGGGGAAGGTTGTGTGTGAGAGAATATAGTAATATACACAGATATATGTACATGAAACTGGGAAAATGAGGCCTGTTGCTTTGTATGCTGACTAAAATTTGAATAAGAAGAAAAACTATGATATCATAAACACAAAAGAATCAGAGACCTCAGCCTTGCCTTTTTGTACTCCTAAAAACACAATGAGATTATGTCCATTCATGTGCCATGTATGAGGTTGGTGTATGCAACATCTCATGCTGTCGGCTCCAGATGATACGTGCCACATTTTGATAACTTAGCAAACTTAGCTAGTAACAAAGAACCCTACTTCGTCCTTTCAGGTGACAGGCCTGGCTGAGTCTTTCAATCTGGACATGGCTCCCGATGCATTTGATGATCAGTATGAGGGCTGTGTCCAAGAAATGGAGAAAAAAGCACCCCAGTTGTTAAAAGAAGATTTTAACATGAGTGAGCAATTAAAAGTTGAGTGGGAAAAGGCAGATCAACATTGGAAGAAGATAAAAAACAAAATGAGCTATCCTGAAGGTTTCCATGATTTCCACGGAACGGCTTTAGTAGCCTACACTGGGGACATTCACAGAGATTTTAACAGAGCTGTTAGAGAATTCAGAAAAAATTTCCATAACTTTCCTTACAAGGCCTTCCATTACTACTTAACAAGAGCTCTTCAGCTTCTGAATAACAAGAGTTGTTACACAGTTTACCGAGGCACCACCAACAAGTTTCATTACAGCAGGACGGGCTCTGTGCGATTTGGACAGTTTGCTTCCTCATCTTCAGCTAAGGCTGTAGCTGTTTCAAAACCATTTTTAAGTAATCGTGGGACACTATTCAGCATTGAAACATGCTTGGGGGTTGATATCAAAGAATTCTCCTTCTTGTCCACTGAAAAGGAGGTGTTAATTCCAGGCTATGAAGTATATCAGAAAGTAATTGTAACACAAAATGAAAAAGGGTACAATGAAGTTTCTCTGGACTCTCCCCAAAGAGGGAAGAGCAACTTTAATTGCTTCTATAGCAATTCTACTGACATAATCAGCAGTCATTTGAGCAGTTCAGGTGAGTCTGGGACTGAGTTAGAGGTGGAGCTTGTGGGGACATCATGAATTGGAAGAGGGGAGGATGCTCCTTGCCAGAAGCCACCAGATAGACCAGGGATTTGGTCAGGGTGCCTGGAATAGCATTGGTAAAGCCAAGGGCACACACCTTTGTGAAGGTGTATCAGAAATGGTTGAGCACAGTGAGGGATTCAGAAAAAAGCTATTCTCAAGCCCAGCCCTGTGAGGAGAGAGCAGTGCCATCAGGGGTTAGGTATTTATCTATCCTTTCAAACCAGAGCTTCCCCAGGGGTGGGGGTCTCTATGGCTGTATACCCATCATTCCTTGTGGCCTGGGTTCTCTCTTCATCCTTTCACCACATGTCTCATTCTATGTAAGCAAAGACACCATAAATTTCAGTTTGGTAATTACTTTTTAAGGCATTGAAGCATCAGTTCTCATAGTAATCTTTCCTTAATATTTCCAGAGAAAATTACTGTTCCATGCTCTCTGTCATAGGTCTGGAATCAGAAGCAATGATAATCGGGAGTAATAAACATCACTGGTTCTCTGACTCTTGGCAAGTTACCAGATATCTGTGCCTCCATTTCCTCATTTGAATGATAAAGACACAAATGACAACTTTTCTATTAGTATTGCTTTGAGAGTTAAGAGAGGGACATTCAAGACATTACTTGGGATGTAGGTATCATTCACCAAATGTCTTTTGTTTTTAAATATGAAGAGCAATGTACACATCTCAGCCATTTGTTCAAAATTCACAATGGTTTGGGACTCAGCACTCACAAGAACATCACTTGCTTACAGTCTAGAGACCTTGTCTTCTCCTCCCCACCGCTCAGATATGTAGTGTTGCACTTTCTAATAGCCAGGCTCCACTAAGTGTTGTCCTAGGAGGTTAAGTTTGACAGAGGCCAGGGAGCCAACCTGAAATGAGTTACAGTTAGACTACTGAGTGCTGAGTCATCATAGCTCCAATCAGCCCTGAAACTCTGAGGGGTTTCTGGAAACATGAGAAGTCTTTGGAGCTGAAGTGGAACTACAGGAAGTGATCACAGGGATTTATGCATTTGCATAGAGAAGTGCAGAGTTAGCATGAAGTCCGAGGAAATCATGACCCCTACCCAGGGGCACAGTCCAGCCAGAGAGATGCTGTTCATTTGGGAGAAACAGTTGATGTCAGTTCAGGAAGGCTGAGAGCCACAGGTAGGTTCTAGTTCACATCAGCTGACAGAAGAAAAACACATTGCTGCAACAATGGACTTTCAGAAGTTTCAGACCCAGAGACCTCTTCTTGGGTGAAGAAGGAAAATCCCGTAGGGCTTCCTAGAAGGCCAGGAAGACTCAGATAGGAAAGGCTTTTCTCCCTAGTCAGTGTCTTAGAGCACAAGACCCTGAAAGTGGTCGATCCATCAGTTTGTTCACCTCTGGTACTTGAGTTCTTTAGGAGTCCTGAGGAAGCTAGAAGAGTCTAGCCAGGCATACTGACCCCCTGGGTTTTGAACTATATGTAAAGCTCTGAATATTTAGGGGGAGATATCTGTGTCATGAGATAGCCCACATGGAAAACTTTCTTTCTCCATCCACAGGAGGCAGAGACAGCCCTGCATTCCTGCTGCATGTGGTGCTACCTGGTCTCCTCGTCCAGCTGTTTCCTCTTGCTGAGCTGTAGCCATCTCCTGCCTGCAGTTCATGGGGCTGAGTGTTGAAGAGAGGCCAAAGGAAAAAACATGGCTGGTTCTCTAAGTTCTGTGGTAGAAAGAAGGCTGTGATCATTTTGGAGAAGGTCTACTTTAACATTGATTTCTTCCATTGATATCTAAGGAACTTACTGGGTCTGTGGGTGAAATTTTATGCTCTGACTTCAAATTTACTACTCTTTGACACTGTTCTATGATGAAAAAGCAATGTTGGTCTGCATTGTCTGCAGTTACAGTTTTAAAGTATGCAACATATGATGAATGTTACAATCTAGAGAAATAAAACATTGATAACCACACCATGTTTTCTGTGACTCTGTTTTTCTATAGGTTGTATTATTGGTTTGAGAAACTCTCCTTAGGCATGAGGTCTGATGCTCACACTGATACAGCTGAGAAAGTTCATGTTATACATTTGTCACAGATGTTCCTGCAGGACAAATTGAATGGGTTATAAACATAACGACTGACCTAGATAAAGTCACTCCCTACTCTATCTCATCAGAACACAGCCATCCACTAACACCTGTCAGCCAATTTCTATAACTCTGATCATCTATGAGGACATGGTTAAATACATTAATTTTAAAACTTTTAATATTAGTGTATTGCCTAATGTGTGCATGTTCATATCTTGAAAAGTGTTTAGGGGTCATGGGCAACTCTGTGTCATCAGTTTTCCCCTTTGGTAGGGAGAAATCCTGATTAGCGGTACCACTTGGGCCTGGTCAGTGGTACCTGTGACGAGGCGCAAGCAGGAGTGGTCACCGGTACCTTTAATCAGGATTTCTCCCTACATCCTTCCACCTTTATGCAGGTTCCAGGGATCAAACACAAGGTTGTCAGTTTGACATATCAAGCATTTTAACTGCTGAGCCATCTCAGCAATCCAGATAGGGACCTTTTGAGGCATATATAGTTCAGGAAGTCTGTGCCCTGTACTCACCCAGAGAGAGTTTAGCCCAAGTGCATAAAGCTTCCCTTAATCCCCATGTTATGGAGTAAGACACCCTGGGAAAAGACCACAGACTCATTTCAGATTACAATCAGCTAAATGTATTGTATCTGCCAGCAGGAAAACAAGCTCTGAGTCAAACTAGAGACTGTTGAGCCAAGAGGTGTGGGGATGAGAGAAGGATTTTAAATGGTAAAGTCTCAGGAAGACCTTGAGTATCTCCGCAAGCAAACCAAGAGCTGTTTTGCTCTACAAAATTAGGTAGTTAAGGGGACCTAAAAATAGTCCTTGAGTGTCTGCATAAGCAGGTTACAGAAGCCAAAAAGGCAGCTAGTCATATCATATTGTAAGAGATGGTGGTGGCTGTATAGTTTGACAGGGGGCAGACTTACTGAGTTGTGGTCCCTGAAATGTATCTTTCATACACTGAAGTCAGAGTCAAAGTGCTATTAGGGAGCAAGATTGAGGACTAACATAACATGGAGTTTCATTAACATTACACCGCTCCATACTGACTGTAGATCATATGTACCAAATTGTTGAATTATAGATAATTAATAGTAAACATTTTAGGTATAGATTTGAATCTTCATTGTGCATAGAGACCTTAGAGTTATGGGCGGATAAATAGAACAATCAGGACATCAAAACAAAAATCAAAACAAAACAAAAAACCCAAATGATCTCTAACAAAGTTCACACAGAGTCCAGTATATAGGTCTCTCTGCTTTGCTTTTAGCACCCTGAGCCCCATATAGGGATAGATTTACCCCCTATGACATTATGTTTAGAAGATCCACTGCTTCCTCAGCTCAGACTAGCAGCTGGAAGACTCTCTAACCATTCCTTTCTCAAGTCAATACAGGCCAACCTTTTCCCCATAAAGGCTATCCAATGGACTATCCCAAAGACACTACAACCTCTGAGTTTACCACCAATTTGTGCTTTGAGTCTGATGAAACCATCTGGGCCAATGGGCTTAGCCAAAGAGCACTGGAGCCAACTTAGAAAGGTGATTATCTCCACTCCTACAATAGTGAAGGATGCTGGCATTACACTGTGTATCCACCACATTCATATCAAGAAAGTGGAAGTAACATATGCTCCTGCCAAATGGACTGTCTCCCACACTATGGGCGCATAAAAAATATTATTTCATTGGGACCCAGGCCCTTCCACTCAATGTTCCTCTATTTCCTTCTGAGTCTTATGTTTGGCCTGAATACACTGCCCTCAGACTTGGACCTGAGAACTTGGAAAGACAGATACAGGGAAGGTAATAGCTAATGTGGCTTCAGAAGAGCAACCCATACTTCATCTGGATCATTGCTCACTTTAAATATCTGGTTATGTTGGATAAAGGAAAGATGTGGGAGCTCATCTTTTGAGATAAGTATAGAGATTACAATTCTGTGCATACAATGAGGCTGGGCCCCCTAGTTGTCAGGAACAAGAGAGTTTCCTTTGAAAAAGTTGGGGTTGTAAACAGAGGCTTCCTGAAAACACACAGATGAATATACAAATAGAAAGCCTCCTCCCTAGCAATGCACAATAGGAAAATGTAATCCAATGGCCATCAAATTAAAAATCTGAAAATTCCATAGAAAGATTCTGGCCTTTGGGAAACAGGGAAAACATAGGGAATCAGACTCCATGCCACAGGATGGGATTCTGGGAATAGAGTTAATCATTCCTAGCCTGAAATCCTCCAGGATTTCTGGTTATGCATTAATATAAAGCCTCTGGGATACATAGAAACAGGAACTAACTAGACTGTCACCCAACACACTCATTGTGATGAGGAAGGGTGGGGGCAGCCTAAATTAGTATTGGAAGACTTACAAGAGGCTGAAACCTGTCAAATTTCAAATCCTTTAACCTAAGCACTCCCCCTTATTCTGGGGGCCACTGTTCTGCCTTGTGGGTTATCTCATCTGGACAACAGCAATATTACAGAGCCCCTGAGACTACTTGGTTGGCTTGACTAAATGTGCCTCATCTGTTGTTTTATGTAACAGAAAAAAGAAACAATATATTTTAATATGGACTCTGAAATACAGAGGAAAAAAGAGCTGCACCTGTTATATTCCCACTCCTGGTCAAGGCAGGGATGACTAGCTCAACAGCCATAGACACATAAGCCTTTGTCATGGGAGAAAAACCTTAAGAAAGTAAGTAGACTGGCTGAGCAGGACCTAGAGGTACTGCCAGTTTCCATTTCTGAATGTGGACACCAGTACCAGTTAAACTCATTTGCATAAGTGCTCCCACAAAATCAGAAAGGATTAGACTTCTTAGGAGACAAAGGGGATTATGTGTGGCTTTTGGAGAAACCTGTTGTTTCTATGATGGTTGTTCAGGAGTAATTAGAAAAAATATTTGTCATGACTGGATACAGAGAGAGAGAGAGAGAGAGAGAGAGAGAGAGAGAGAATTAGATAATTGGTACCAGTCTCTGTTCTCTTGTTCTTCCTGGTCTTCCTAGCTAACTATTCTGCAATCAGCACTGGCTGGCCCTTTAATTCTCATTCTGATTGGATGAATAGAGGGGTCCTGCATCATAAACTATATAGAAATTTGAGTTCAATATTTTACTCATTCACTTAGACATGCCCCCAGACCTTGGCAGAAATGTTTCCATGATGGAAGCACCATTAACGCCATGAAGCTCAGCATGTAGATAGCGCCACCCACCAAAACAAAAGCAAAGACTCAATCATAGTTATAGGAAAGTCTCTAAATATACTAACCTAGCTTTTTTGGCTTCTATAGTTCTGCTTTTGGCTAACTGCTCTTGTTAACTGAAGTATGTCAACCCAGGACATGGTTTTTGTGCTTAAAAGCTCAGAGAAAGACTTAAAATCCTGAGAAAGGCTCAGAGCTACACTGGGATCCTGAGCACACAGTGTATTCTCTGGCTAGCTAATAAAGACTTTCTATTGACTTAAACCCATGTCTGAGAAGTATTCTCTGATGAATAACCCACAATACTACAGCCCCATTTTTGTATCCTTGACTCTAAATCCAGAATCAAGTGGCCAAAGTTGCCAAGTTCTGTTGATTGATGGGGCTGGAATTTGGTCCCCTTGTTCAAATACATTTTCACCAGCTTTCTGTTTTTTATGGTTTTCTTAACTTCTTTTTTTTTAGTTTTCTTTTTATTTATTCAATGTGTCTTTCACATCATGCATCTTAGTCCCATTCATTTCCCTGTCCCTTTGCATCTGCCCCTGATGCACCCACCCCCAACAAAACAAAATTTAAGAGAAAGAAAAAAGGAAAAAAATAAAAATCTTGTCATGGAAGCTGCAATGTGACACAGTGACCTCAGTAAACCCATTTTTTCCACATCTTTCTTGCAAGAGTCATCGGTTTGATTCAAGGCCTCTGGTTTCTGCTACACGATTGGTGCTGGGCCCTCACTGGGCCTCTTCTTGGATATCCTGTTGTTGCTCTGTGTTGTGGAGATCCTGAAAAAACTAAATAAAAACAACTTATTACATCTTTTTTTTA